AATAATAGAATACACGAAGAACTTAAAACTGTTCAATTGAGATCTTTCTATTATAAACTTGTTAAAAATTTCCACGAAATGCAAAATAGTATTGACAACCCGGCAATTAAAATCTGTACATATGATTATAATGATCTTGGTAATTTGAATCTGCCACTTGCCATTCTCAATATATGGATTATGTAACGTTTACTTTTCTTTTCTTGAAATCTGTGTATTTTTGTTTATGTAAATGTAAATAAAGTAATTGTATCTCACTTGGCACTGAGAGACTTCCACTGACCTTTCCTGTTACTGATAACTGCATGTATATAGTATATCTCTATATTAAATAAAAATCAGAAAAAAATAATATTTATAAATATTAAAAAATAGAGAAAAAAGAAAATAGCAAAAATTATTATTTTTAAAAAAGAAAAATAATAATAATAATTGTCATAGTTATGTTATCTTGTAATGTTTTTATATGTATGTTTCTCTTTCCAATGAAGATTCGAAAGTACTTTTGTTCTACAGGGAGTAGGGTCTTTGAACCCAGGTACCCCGGTGTTTGGACACCATTGTACAGGATCAGTTTTTGTAGTGAGAGATGGAGCGCTTGATTAAAATCATAAGTCCACCACTGCATTTTCCTTTAGTATACTCTCTATCTTTTCTGTAGGTGTTATAGTTGCTCATCCTGAAGTTCTGGTGTGGGCTAAGCATTATTTCTTGTAGGAAAATAACATTGGGAGAGTGCTTTTGTATAAAATCCCTGAATTAATTAACTTTCGGGTACAAGCCATTTGCGTTCCTTGTAACGAGGAAAATGTTTTAACATACATTAGTTGCAATGGCCATTAAGTTCATTCAACATTTCAAAATACACAAATAATTTATCAATATTGTCCGTATGGGACTTTAGCTTAGAAACATAGGTTTTAAAAATTTTAGTCATTTTGCAGTATTTGCTTGTCCAAAAACATTATGAAGTTCCTTCATATACCTTAAAAATTAAAACATATCTGAGCTATTAGTGCTCTTAGCATTAAAATTATTTAAGTTTTCTGAGACATTAGCATTAGTATTTTCAATTTTATCCTGTGGAAATCCAGCAATGGGGGAGTTTATCGGACTTAAGTCCTCTCTAACTGCGTTAGTCATGTTAGCAGGGTTTAGGCCTTGAGCAAAGCTGATGCCAGGCTTTATTTGATTTTTCTTGCTGTTTGATAGTCTGTACTTTGGAAATTTAGGGCATCCACGATAGGAACTTGGGTGATTTCCTAGGCAATTTAGACATTTTGGTTCCTCGGTTCTACCTTTGATGGGGCAAATCAGTAGTTCGATGTTTTTCCGCGAACTTGACTCAAAGAAGCAATTCTCAGAAGAGTGATACCACTTTTGACAATTGTGGCACTGAGGGACCTGATTTTTAAATACGTACTTCTCTACCTTAGCAGAGAATAATATCAGGCCCCTCAGGTTATATATCTCTTCCACATTATCTGACTGCCGTCAACAAAAATAATGGCATTGGTACCCTAGTCGTACGGCGCGTAAGTTGTGCGACTTTTTGCCTTTGAAAGTGAAACCTTTGTCAGAAACTGCTTGGGCTGTTTCTTGATGATTTGCATTTAAAGGAAGTCATCTAATTACTACCTTAATTGGTCTTTTATATTTTTCATTAATTATATAGTGCTCAACTTTCAATTCCTTGAATAACGCAGTTAGAGTGTGGTGATTATCCGGAGTCTGGGGAAGGATTTATTTAAAAATTCCCCGTTGATTTTCCCTAAAAATTTAGGCTGAGTTTTTGTAGCAAGTTGCTTAAGAAAATCATCAAAAGATAACTCTTCGGGGTTAACCATTATAGGTGGAACATTAGGGGTTTGGGGTGAGCTATTTACTTGCTGGATTTCCACGTCCTGGGGGGCATTATCCACATTATTGTCAATATTACTTTCATTTAAAATAGCCAACTTATTTTTAACTTCTAACACATTCTTCATTTTTTCAATTCTTAATTGCTTAGATGTTTTAGTTGGAAATTGAAAACTATTATATGTAGTATCATCATTATTTTTCGAGACAGTTTTACGTTTGTTGCTTAAGGAACTACCCCTATTTAGGGCAATATTTAATCTAGACATGCCTGCCGAAATAGTCAAACCACACTTACCTCTAAGGTTGGCTACTTCATTCTTCAGCTGCTTGATGAGTTTAACCATGGGCTCAGTTACAATGTCCGGTTCCGTTACAGCACGCTTCTGATGATAGGCTTTTACAGTAGATTTTTATATGTTCGATCTGTTTTTCCAAATCCATGGTCTGCGAACGCATAAAGTCCATCGAAACACCATTAGCAGTTAAGTCGGCGACTCCTTGAGCATTAAGCTGAACGTTACTATCGATGACATGGACGCTACCGTCCATGCGATTATCATTATCGCCGTCAGGCAAAACAACTTCGGCTGGCTGGCTCATAACAAGCACCTTCATCCACCAGGGATCAGGGCCGAATGTGAAATGCATGACTGTGAGTCCAGAGGACGGCTTTGCAGGTGTAGGGGGAGTGACCATTTGTCACGTGAGAGATTTGAGGACATCTGAATGGCTGAGGTAGTTTCAGTCAAGTAACTGAGAATACAGGCTTTGCACAAAATTACATAGGAATAAACAATAAAAAATATAAGAAATGTAATCATGTTCTTTGATGCTATGTGCAATATATACGCTATTTACATGCCAGCAAAATCTGTAAGCGATAAGACGGGCTATGTAGTTAGGAGTCCATAATCATGTGATAGTCACGTGAGAGGGTTACCTTCCCGGGAGATGACCCCTGGAGATGTTGCTTGAAAGTAGTAAACAGTTCATTACTTCTCATTCAGAATCGAAATTATCAGAGCTAAGTGGGGAAGACTTGGTTTTTGCTTAGCATAAATGCCGCAAAATGTGGAAGGTGTTTGTCTTCCGTCAATATCTCATAATGAAATGAATTGAATGCACTGACATGATCACATTCTTCTGCACTTTTGTAGAACTTCTCGTTTAGTTTTCGTAAATAGTCCCTGATCGTGTGAATCTTAAGGTCTTGGTGGAGGCGTTTATTTCTTACAGAGTAATGGGCGTTTGTCATAATCCGTAAATATTTATTTTGCAAGATTTGCAATTTATTTAGGTCTGAGTCCGTGGCGGCGGCCCAGGCTGGAGCAGCATAGGTTATGATGGTCTGAATCGTGGAGAGATAAATGAGTCTTTTCTTAAATAAATCCAATCTAGAGTATTTGCCGAAGAGCGGGTAAAGGGATTTCATCATTGCAGTTGCTGTTTTGCGGATATGGGTGATGTGCGTTGTCGACGTGAATCTGTCGTTCAGTATAACAACCCAAATATTTTGCATGTGGGAATATAGGAACTGGTTCCTTGAAAAGGACCAGATCCCTCTTGACTCGAACGTGTCTTTTCTTCCGTCTTATGATAAGAAGTTGTGATTTTGAACTTTCCAATTCCTACACCAGTCCTCTATGAGTGGGATGTTATCTTGAAGCTTCTTAATGCGTGATTTACATTTGCAGACTTTACTGCCAGAGCAGTATCGTCTGTATAACATGTTAGAAGGGAGCTGCCATGAAGCTGAAGATGAGGAAAGTCGGCAACATAGAACAGGAAAAGAATCGGACCGATCACTGATCCATGTGGAATGCCTCTATGGATACTACCTTCGTAGGAGTTTGCTTAGTTAACAGTGACTGTAAATTTCCGGTTTGTTAGGAAGGAGAAGAGTATGAGTACGAGTTCCTTTTCAAATTTCATCTGGATGAGTTTGTAGATAAGACCCTCATGCCAGACGCGGTCGAAAGTTTTCGCCACGTCTAACATGAGGATCGCAACTGTTTGTTTACAATGCAGGGTGGCTCCTGCAAACTCTGTGAGCCTTACAAGTTGCTTCCCCTGAATCCAAACTGTTCGCGTGGGAGTAGGTTGAGATATATTTTCATTCTGTCAAGAACAATTCTTTCAAAGATCTTACCAAATCCCAAGAGTACACTTATCGGGCGATATCCGTGTGGATATGTGTGGTCTTTGCCGGGTTTGGGTATCATGATGATTTTAGCGAATTTCCACTTATCTGGGAAATAGGAAGAGACAAGACATGCACTCAGGATGCTTGTTAATTTGCAGATAATATTGTTAGGAAGATGTTTAATTCCCGTATTTGTGATGCCGTCCTTTCCAAGAGCCTTTTTTGGTCTTAACTTTTTTACATGAGTCTTTACTTCTGCGGGCGTAGCCAATTTGATGACGTTGTTCGCACTAGGGGAAAGTAGCCAATCGCGGACATATAGAAGTATTCTAAGTTCCGAGTCAGTCTTCGTTCATTGGCCAGCAGGAGTGAACTACTGACTGTGCGCGTACCATCAGGTTTTATGTAGCTTTTGCCTTGTGTTCGAGAACATTCTGGGCTAAACCAGTAAGAATTCGTCGAAGAATGTTCTCCATCCGTCTATGGCATATCGCCAGTTTTGTCGCCTAATGAGCGATTTCAAATGATGCAACCCTGCTTTTCCCTGTCATTTTATGGCAACCCGAAACCTGCTTTGAGGGGAAGCTATCTTACCGCGTCTGGAAATTTCGTAACAATATATTCTACTCACATTATTTTAGAAAGGCATTTATGAACTCATATAGGAAGAACTATTTTAATCCCCAAAATTTGTTTAATGATACTACGATAAACACTATGGATGGTCCTTGGATGTCAGAATCTCGGGAAATCAAAAAGTCGCCAAAGTAGCGATAAAACAAATCTGGCAATTTTTGCATTAAAATTATTCTTTATTATTAAATATAGCAATATTCTTCGCTACTAAAACACAAGAGATTCAGCTATAAATTAAACGTTAACAAAAAAAATATGGGGCGGAAATGAAAACTTAAAATTAGAAAATATAGGAAACTCAGTAGAGAAACTTTATACCGGAAGTAGAATTCCCAGTTCCGGTTGAAGCATTGTTTGTTGTTATTTACATGAAAAACATCGTCAATATTGGCTCTATCCCCGCGCCGAAGATAAAACAAAGATTTAAGGAAATTATCATGCTCAGCGAGGGAAAAAAAAAAGAAATTGGAAGCAAAGTAGGGAAAGTTGCGCACGTCTTTTAGTTTAGTCTCAGTTTTCAGTCTTGGAAGCAACTTCGTTGTGTTAACGTTTTTCATGTCTGAGAAGTATATAGATATATTTTTATGATATGGAAGGGAAACCAGTTTTTTCTCAAGTTGCGTCCGGGAGAGCTGAACAAACCCCAGGCATTGAAGGTGATAATGTTGACCACCTGTTTCCTTTATTTTAGTGCTTTCATTATGGGATGAGGTGCTATTACACTTATTACCACTGGGTTGTCTAATTTTTGATACGCTTATTTGATAACCATATAAAATTATCATTTCTGGATTACTCGGTATATTTAGAAAAAAGCATACTATTTTTTAATTATTCCGTTTGTATTCTCTTTTCTTTTAAATAGTTTATATATATATTTTTAATCAGTTCTCGTTCACGACTGTGAATTTTTATGTACCGTTTCACTTGATAAAGAGAATAGATTTTTTCTTTTCTTTTTTATGGAAAATGTAGGCACGTAGTTTTAGTTATCACAATATGTGTTCTGAAATCTTTAATATTTTTCTTGCTTCAGCATGATAAATATTGGTTGTAATGAGAGTAACATTTTGTGCACACATAGGTGTTCTATTTATTTACCAAGTTAATAAACTGATGTGTTATGGAGAAACTTTAGTTTTGAATATAATAGACTTGCTTTAATTTTTGTTTGTTTGTTTATTTATAATGTTATTTAACTTGAATCACTTAATTGTTTTGTAGACAGGTGAGTTATGCATACAGTTTACTTTTTACAATGTTAATATCCAAAACAACAACAAAAAAAAATATCTATATTTGCATATTTTTAAAGAAGTTTCTAAAAGAATATGTATTTTAATGTATGAAAGCATATTTAGTGTCATGGTTAATTTGCTTCAACTTTAAACTCACATTTAAGTTTTAATTATTTATTCATTTATATTTTTATTTTTTAAATAATCCTCAAAATTGAATTTTATGTAAAATACAGCTTAATCTTCATAATACGATACAGTGGAATCTGGGCAAAATTTTAACAAGTTACATAATGGTGTAAGTAATTGTCGATTAATATGTATAAAATCGTAGGGGAAAGTGCAGAATCACCCACTGCTTGGCATGTTTTTAAGAATTGCTCATACTCGGCATCCATGTACACATTGACCTATTTTTACTTTAAAAAAAAATCCCAGAATTGCAGAAAAATGGCATTGCGCACTTCTTTGACTTTATCACATGTACACATTGACCTATTTTCAAGTAAAAAGTCAAAGAAAATTGACAAAAATCCAATTCTTTTTACTCTTGTAAAAAGCGCCAAACAAATAAGTGACCGAGGTTGATCTTTACAATATGGTAACTGGTAGTTTGGCGATGTTTTGGAGGCGATAAAGGTTACTACCTGGGGACTTTGGTAATAATGTGAGCAGTACTCAGTTTCGATTACGCATTATTTTGCGTGAGGGAAATGAGAGATCATGGGATATGTCATGCGATATTAATGGACGAATTAAAGTTCTTTAATCGGAAAGGGGGGGAAATCGGCAAAAAATCTGGAAATTTTGTATTTAGCTTTATTCTGTGTTCTGTGAAACAGTGTTGGTTAATTTTTGGATCCCATGGCCCTAACTAAAGTGAATTCGAAATGGGTATTTAGGCATTGTGATAAAGAGAAGTTTGCTTTTTATTTAGCAGAGGAAGTATGGAGGAAAAATTCGCAGAAAAAATCTTTCAATAATTTTATTGAATGAATTAGAAAAGTGTATCCGCCACGTAATCAAGATTCTGAAGAAGATTAGGTAAGTTAGTATTTTTAATTATTTGAGGATATTATTTTTATGCATTGTTCTAAAATGTAAGGTGAAAGGAATTTGGTATTATTGGGAAAATTGTTATTAGCAATGATTTAGTTTAAAGTAAGTAGGATTGTAAGGTAATTTTTTATTAATTTAATGTATGTGCTCATTTATATTTTAAGTAGTGTTTTTGAATTTAATTATATTTTAATGAAATGATAGTTATTTTTGTGAATTTTATGTTTGTAGGAATTTGGTATATGTTTTAGTTGAAGTAAACGTGCATGGAAATAATTTAAATATCTGACACTAAGTATTTGTAATGGTTGCGGTATGAATTCGTTGGTGACGTTTATAATATAATAGATGATTTAGAGGTAAAAGTTTTTGGATATTTTATTATTTTATATGTGGAAATGTTCATATTTGTAAAGGGTAAATACTTTTCGCGATCAGGTAATTTCATATATGTTCTTTTTTACCGGGTTTAAAAATTGAGAAAATTGTCATGTATTTTCGTGAAATTTTTCTAATTTATGAGAAAAAAGCAGTGTAACATGGATATAGTGAAGAGAGTGCGCAATGCCATTTTTGTGCAGTTCTGGGATGTTTTTTTTTAAGTAAAATAAGTCGACGTGTACATGGTTTAGTGATATTTAATTAAATGATAGTTATTTTGTGAATTTTATGTTTGTAGGAATTTGGTATACGTTTAAGTTGAAGTAAACGTGCATGGAAATAATTTAAATATTTGATACTAAGTATTTGTAATGCTTGCGGTATGAATTTGGTGACGTGTATAATGTAATAGATGATTTAGAGGTAAAGTTTTTGGATATTTATTTATTTTATATGTGGAAATGTTCATATTTGTAAAGGGTAAATACTTTTTCGCGATCAGGTAATTTCATATATGTTCTTTTTACCGGGTTTAAAAATTGAGAAAATTGTCAGGTATTTTCGTGAAATTTTTCTAATTTATGAGAAAAAAGCAGTGTACATGGATATAGTGAAGAGTGTGTGCAATGCCATTTTTGTGCAATTCTGGGATTTTTTTTAAGTAAAAATAAGTCGGCGTGTACATGGTTTATGTGTATGTGTTATTTTGAAAAACGCGTAAGGAGTATGGTATTGTGCACTTTTTCCAATTTTGCAGTGAATATTTGTCATGATTAAGCAGTTTTGTTTGATAAAATTTCTAGCAAAAGTGTAATTCGGCTAGTAGATTGTTGGAAGAAGTGTTCAGTAGATAAAAAAGAAAAGAAACATGTCTTTACTTCGTGAAGACAAAATGGCGGCGGGGAAAAAAAAATAGAGGGTTGCTGTAGGAGAGTTGGTTGCCAAATTTTCGCCAAAAAATCGCCAAGTTACCATAATGTAAAGATCAACCGTGACCGATTCTGCACTTCACCCAAATCATACTTTAAATCATTTGCTTAGTGGCATATTTTTGCAAGTAGCTGCTGATTCTTGCAGCGATTTTGCTATATCACATGTCTTTCTAAAATTCAAAATTTCGAAAGTTACGATAAAAATTTCCTCCAAAGTTAGCCCACCAGTGGCCAAGCGGTAAAGTTACTGAACACTGGTAGTTCGGTCTGAGGTTCGAATCCCGCGAACGGGCTGGCTGCATGGGTGTTTTTGTGGTTTTCCCCATGTGTAACGTGTAAACTAGCCAGTTTCCCTTAGCAAGTCCTCCACACGAAGGCATCCCTTCCCTTAGGCAGATAGCCCTAGTGTGCTTTGCCATAATTAAATACACCACCTCCAAAGTTAACATACTACACGAAAACCACAATCCAAATCGTAAACTCCGCTGACAGCCACATACTTTAACAGCAACCATTTGACTGTAAATTCACACAAGAACTATCAGAAATGCCCTTCTTCGTCCAAGTTCTCATAGCAGCTCTGCATTTCGGACTCCGTTTTAGTCCCACAGGAATTCCAAAAATGTACTTCAATCCTCATAAAAACACCCGTGAACAAAAGACTCATTAACAACACCAACATCGTACCTTTTAATACTAAATTTACTTTCCACACTATCTAAAATATGCAACTGAAATCTTGCCACCACGTCTATCATTGCAACATAGGCCATTTCAAAACATGCACGACAGGAACCAACGAGCAATTAAACGACTCCATCAAAAGATTTTTCAAAGTCAACAGGATTGCCATACAACACGCAATCACGCCAAAAACCAGTGCAGATCACATAATCGCCATATTTGGTGATATTAACATGCATATAAGAGTAGAGCCGTTATGTCATTAAAGAAAAGTAACAAGGTAATATATATACAAAGTGATGAAAGATCCTATGATTGGATAAAAGCAGTCATGCTGCTCAGAAGTCTCAACAGTTATCACCCATGGAGTCAAATTGCTTAAAATAAATGTAGTTTAAAATAATTGCTTAAAATAAATACTTTTAGGCCCATTAAAGGCAGAGCTACAAAATTGTTGAGTATTATAACTTGATGTGGATTAAAGTCTTGGCAAATGAGCTGATTGTATGTTTTTTCTTTATGATTTTCCCCATGTCTACCATTAATATAAGTCAGTTTTCTTAAAACGTGTTCCACAAGCGCATCTCTTCCTTTAGGTAAGTAATCCTCTCATGCTTTACTGTAATCTAAATTATCTAACCTGATCCATAGTGTTGTTAAAGTGCATTATCTTAAATTAGTACCTTTTTTCTTCTAATCCGTGTGCCGTATTTCATACAACAACTAATCCATTTAAGTTAAATTCAGCACTTATTGTCCCATTAATCTTGCTGCCCTAGGTAGCTGCTTGTGTATTCTGTCCTTTAATCTGCTGATAAAAAACAATATGAAGCATACTTAATTTCATTGAATAGTTTTCCTTTGCTTAGAAGATGTCATATGAAATTGTACTTTGGTTCTTGTATTTTAAATTGGAAAAGTTGGTACAGTACAAAGTCTTTAATCTGGAATGATCTATAATCCGGACCTCAAAGCTACAAACTTTCTGCTCATGCATATCGTTTATGCATGCGCATATGCATTTGCGCATGCACATAATACCTTTACGCATGCACATAATACCTTTACGCATGCACATAATACCTTTACGCGTGCGCATAATGCCTTTAAGCATACGCGTTTAATGCATAAACGGACGATATAGGCTAGGCTAAAATTATCTATTTCAGTTAATGTTGCAGATTGTGCTGTTCCTTAATCTTCTAATTTGATCTGGCTTATTATTTTTTGCAGACTGTTAGAGCAATTTTATAAAAAGTAATCTTGAACTTTCGATTATGTCAAAAAGAGTTTCCAATTCTGGGGCTGCCAAAGGATCTACAAAGCAAAAGCATGTTTCGATGTCTATCAAACAAAAAGTGG